CGATGCCCAGCATCAGGCAGAGAGGGAAGGAAGTGAGAGCTCATGTGGTCATATTCTTCTAGGAATGAAGAGTGGCAGGGGCAGCTCTATGTTATGTATATTTACAACCAACACAGAGGGACAGTGGATGGTTTAAGATTTGAAAGAGTATCTTAATATCACTTAAATCACTTATTAATTATACAGAAGAAAAACTACAGGTTTAGGGCATTGCTCAGCATTCCTGGATTCCATCCTTAGCAACCAAATAGACAGGCACGCACACATGCATTCATACAAAATTTGGGGCCAGCAAGAGGGCTTAGCAGGCAAATTTTTACCAAACTCCTGATAACCCGAGTTTGATCCCCAGAGCACACATGGGGTAAGGTAGAGAAAGAAGTGATTCCCACAAGTTGTCCTTTGACCTCCACACATGTGCTGTGGTATGTGTGTACCCATATATACGATTAATAAATGGATAGATAAATAAATGCACTATAAGTACAGTTATGAGTTGCTAACAACAGAGACACATTCTAAGAAACTTATTGTCAGGTCATTTTTATCAGAATGCATTTATACATATTAATGTCTATGATGTCACTAGATAATTAATCTTATGGAACCAGTGTCATACTTTTATCGTTGACCAAAACATTGTGATGCAGCATATGAATGTAACTATAGTAAAGAAACTTGGCAGGCATCACACTGAACAAGTAGTCAAAGCAAAAGAATGAATACCGAGGCAAAATGTTATCATGTCCCTCCTGATGAAACATAATGAACACATAACATCTCTTCTGGTATTCATGCCCCAAATGCAGAACTTAAAACTAATATAACCACAATGGAACTTACACAAACTTGAATGCTATAAAATAACTGCCCAGGATACTTCAAAAATATCAAAGTCAGCTGAGTGTGGTAGCGCGCCTTAAATCCCAGCACTCAGGAGGCAGAGGCAGGCGGATGTCTGTGAGTTTGAGGCCAGCCTGGTTTACGGAGTGAGTTCCAGGACAGCCAGGGTTATGCAGAGAAACCCTGTTTTAAAAAACAAAAATCAAAGTAATGAAAGACAAGAAAAACTAAAAGAACTGTTCCCGATAAGGAAGCGCACCTAAACGACAGTATTCTCTATTAATTTTGACAGGTAAACTATAGTTATATAACTTCTCAACATTTAGGTAATTTGACTAAGTATATATTTGAACTCTTCCAAAAAGGTTTAAAAATTTGAAAGTTTAAAAATTCTGAAAACACTGGAGAGATGGCTCAGTGGCTAAGAGCACTTGTTGCTCTTACAACCCACCCAGTCAACGCCTGTTCCAGAGGATACTATGCCCTCTTCTGGCCTCTGTGGGCACTGCATGCACATGCTGGCAAAACACATAAAAAAGAAGTCTTTTTTAAAAAATATGAAAACACAGGACTGGAGACATGGCTCAGAAGTTGAGAGCACTTGTTGCTCCTTCAGAGGACCTAGGTTCAGTTCCCAGAACCTATATGGTGACTCACAACCATCCATAAGTCCAGATCTGGGAAACTGATGCTCTCTTCTGACCTCTTTCCACACCAGGCTCGCACACGGTCCATGTACATACATAAAGGCAAAACACTCATACACATAAAAAAATGAATACATCTAAAAAATACTAAAAAAATTCTGAAAACAGGGCTTGGAAATAGCGCAGTGGTGGAGTGTTTGTCTAGCATGTGAGAGACCATGTGTTCACTCTCCAGCACTGAAAATAATCACAAAACAAAACCAGGGTTAAACAGGAAAGAAAGAAAATCTATGGGAAGGACAACCAGAACCAAGGGTAACCACTCCCACTCCTTACTAGCAGAGTATGAGGAGGCTGCAAAGGCAGGCAAGAATGTTCGGGGAAAAGCCAGATCACTGTGCAAGTCAAAGAGTGTTTGGGGGGCATTTTTGTGTGCCATTGGGGGGCATTAGTGACACTTAGTGGGCATCTACTGGAGATGCCCAACATTCTGCAGTGCACAAGACAGCCCCACATAACAAAGAATTGTACCATAGCCCATCCAACCTTAGAATGCCCTACCAAACCATTATTTAGGTTAAAAAAATCTGCTTATTCATTCATAATTTATCCATTTGACCAACATTTATTTAAGAAAGTCTATCATGTCCCAAGTAATGATTTAGGTACTACAGACCTACCAGGAGGGGAAAAACAGACAAAATCCTTTCCCTTTTCTAGAGCTTAAAATTGGGTGGAGAGTTAGACAATAAGCTACAAACACAATAGAAGTAAAGAACATACAGTCAGCCTGCTTAAATGATGGCCGTCCCACAAAATCATACTGCTTGGTGATGTCACAAAGGTCTCAGTTTGAGTAAGCACTCTAATTTTGCACAATGACAAAATTCCCTAATGATAACTTTTCTCAGAATATAACCCTTTGTTAAGCAACACAGAACTGTACTACATAAGAAGGTGGTGTGGTGAAATGGGAACGATAGAGCTGGGTTGGGGTAGCGAGTTTTAAGCAGGATGGTCATGGTAGACCTCAACAAGAAAATAGCAACTAGGGGCTGGAGGGATGGCTCAGAGGTTAAGAGCACTGCTTGCTCTTCCAAAGGTCCTGAGTTCAATTCCCAGCAACCACACGGTGGCTCACAACCATCTGTAATGAGATCTGGTGCCCTCTTCGGGCCTGAAGGGATACATGCAGACAGAACACTGTATACATAATAAATAAATACATCTTTAAAAAAAAAAAAAAAGAAAATAGCAACTAAATAGAAACCTGAAGAAAGTGAAGGCGCCAGGCGGTGGTGGTTCACGCCTTTAATCCCAGCACTCCGGAGGCAGAGGCAGGTGGATCTCTGTGAGTTTGAGGCCAGCCTGGGCTACAGAGTGAGTTCCAGGAAAGGTGCACAGCTACATAGAGAAACCCTGTCTCGAAAAAGAAACAAACAAACAAAAACAAAAACAAACAAACAAACAAAAAGAAAGTGAAGGCATGAAACCTGTGGATATTTGGGGAAGAGTATTCTGAAGACAGGGAAAGCTGTAACATAAAACCACCTAGGCATAAGTGTACCTAATACAGTCAAATAACACTAAGGAGGCTGTTGTAGGTGAAGTGGAGTAAGGAAGCCGAGTAGTAGGACGTAAGGCTAGAGAGGCGAGGGATCAAGGAGATTCATTTATAGTCATTTTTTCTTGAAATCTAACAACCATAAACAATGAGAGACGTTTACACATTCTTTTGTTTAGAACTTTATGAAGAATTACTCATCATTAGGGAAATAGAACTGTATCCTACCTGTGGTTTCTGAGTTACCACTCAATATACATGTAGCTGTCACACGCAAGGGTCACATACATGTATTTACGTGTAAGATTATTTCATTATTTATTTCTTCTAGTGTAGCCATAATCCAAGTATTTATGTATTGAAGTGCATATTGTTTTATTATAAATTTTTCTTCAGCCCAGTGTGGTAGCACACACCTTTGATCCCAGCACTCAGGAGGCAGAGGCTGGCAGGTCTCTGTAGTTCAAGGCCAGCCTAGTCTACAAAGTGAGTTCCAGGACAGCCAGGGCACAGAGAAACCCTGCCTCGAAACAACAAACAAAAATAAAATTGTCTCTCTGATATCACAAGTGAAGCGTTACATTAGCTTTGAAGGGACTGTCCATGTAGAGTCTACTTTCTATGCTCTTCATTTTAAAATAGTGAAGGAGGTATTTCGAACTATACATTACAGAAAGAGACTATTGGATCAATGGGTGTCAGAATGACAAAGGTATGGCAATAATGTTCAAAAGTTAGGATAGGAATGGGGATGGGATCTGGTGGTACTTGACAGTGAGTTTCCAAAGGTTTGATCTAGAAGAACTCCTGGATGAGGACAGAAAAGATGTTCAGGGCTACATGGAGACATAATTAGAAGATCCCTGGACTGACTATGGTGTTTTGTGTGTGTGCGGGTGGGGGTGGGGTGCAGACAGTGTTTTACACTGTAGCCCAGATTTATTTTGAACTCACTATGTAGCTCAGGCTGGCCTTGAACTTGTGGCAATCCTCCTGCATGCTGTGAATTCAGGCATGTACCACCACCAAAAAGTAGTTTGTAATCTTATTTTCTCCCCATCCTTGGTGTCTCTACCTGTTTAACAGAGAAGGCTGAGGAACAAAGAGGGCTCTTTCCCCAATGAGACTTAGAAGCAGCCCAAGGCCAGGCTCCAGTTTTGTGCCCTACCCTTGGGCCACTCTCACTGGTTATAAATAGTGCACCTCTAACCACATTAGGGATGGGAAAGAGATAGGTTCAGTGTGGAAAGAGAAGAGAGGACAGAAGCATTCAAAAAGATCCATTAGGAGAGAGGGTCAGAGGCAGACAAGGGGGAGAGGGTCAGAGACAAGAGTGATAAAAAAGTCAGACTAAGCCGGGCGGTGGTGGCGCACGCCTTTAATCCCAGCACTCGGGAGGCAGAGCCAGGCGGATCTCTGTGAGTTCGAGGCCAGCCTGGGCTACCAAGTGAGTCCCAGGAAAGGCGCAAAGCTGCACAGAGAAACCCTGTCTCGAAAAACCAAAAAAAAAAAAAAAAAAAAAAAAAAAGTCAGACTAAGAGAATTAATATTCTTCTCAATCACGATCATCGTTATTTATTGAAAAAACTTCTAGGGACCAAGCATGTGCATTGGCTCAGGTAGAGACAGACCTCCATTTAAGCGATGATGAAACTGAGGCCCAGATGAGTAAAGTGAATAGTTCAAAGTTTCATAGCTGGTTTTAAGTGGTCAGGTCAAGATTAGGCATCCTGAGTCTGGGATGTCTTAGTATGTCGATTGAGAGAGACAGAGACAGAGACAGAGGAGAGAGAGAGAGAGAATGTTGGGTAGAGGCAGATATGGAGTCGAGACTGGAACACAGACAATCACGTGAGCAGCAGACCTGCACGGAATCTTTTCCCCAGAGGCTGGGATAGGGAGGTCCACAGAGGGTGGGCACGGGTGGTGGGTTCAAGGATACTCACCTGGGTGCCGTCTGGAGGGGCTGCAGGAGCACTCGCCTTCCCTTTTTTTGCTACGCAAATGATCCTCCACCACCCACGGACCTAGAGTTGAAAGGCCGCCCAGGTAAAAGCCCGCCAGGTCCCTCCCCACACGCGTTCTGGGCTGTTCTCTCCCCTCCCGCCGCTCTCTTACCCACCACCCCATCTTTACTGCTTGTTGCGGGATACCTCTAGCCTCCGTAGGTTCTACAGCTGCCGCAGGAGAATGGATACCTGGCCCACAGCAAGATCTCGCAGACACACGGATGCTTCACGCGACGATCGGCGGAGCGATGGCAGGATAGCGGGGCTCCATCACTGCCGCGGGCTCCTCAGCTCCCATTGGAGGAGTGCCCTTTTGCCTTCCCTCAGATTGGCTAGAGATGGAAGCACCGATGAAAACTCCACCCTCTCGAAGGTGTGATTGGCTTATGAGCCAAGCCCTTCCGTTAACAACCCTGGCCAGGAAAGGATCACCATTCGACTGGTCTTCCGGGGGTCGCTTGTGAACATGCAGGAAACCCGAAACCAGGCTAAGCACAAATCACTGAATAGACTTCCTACTTTCCTGACGTCTTCTTTCTTTCTGTAGCCACTTTGCCCTCACACCGCTTTGCTAAGAGACTCTAGGACTCTGCTCCCAGTTTCCTATAGCTCCACACCCACTTGTAGGAGTTTCTGAGCCAGGTGTCTCTCATTCCAGGTAAGCATTGTTCCTAATGCCATCCATGGAGAAAAGGTAATCCTACTTGGTAGCCCTGGCTGACCTAGAACTCGCCATGTAAACCAGGCCTGCCTCTGCCTGGGATTAAAGGTGTGAGCCACTATACCCGGCAGAGTTTATGTAATTTTTAATTAGGTGTATAAGTACTCAGTGTTTAAGTAGAATAAGCTATGGCCTAAAGAGGCAAACTTGGCGAGGCGTTGGTGGTATAGTGGTGAGCATAGCTGCCTTCCAAAAGAGGCAAACTTACTGGCCTGAAATTGAGCAGCAATTACCCAGAATAAACCCCAGCCCTCTGTCTTCTAAAGGAAAGCTGTTTAAAGAAGGAAGGAAGAACAGGAAGGCTCCTTCTATGAGCAAGTTTTTTAATTTGGGTAGCACAGATCCTCCAGGAGAGTCTGGGGGTAGGGTTTTGGGGGCAGGGAGGAATGACTTGGATGGGAATTAATTTACATCTTTGCTTTCCTTCCCTGTTTAGCAACATTTAGCATGTTTTCAATAAAGAATGTAGGCAGAGGCAGGTGGATCTCTGAGTTCAAGGCCAGCCTGGTCTACAGAGCGAGTTCCAGGACAGCCAGGGCTACACAGAGAAATCCTGTTTTCAAAAAACAATTAAAAAAAGTGTAATTCACCATGACAGTAATAGTAATATTGGCGATTGTCACCAGTAGTAATCAGAGATTTGTCCATCATATAAAGTTGCAGATATCTCAAATATATAACCTTTGAAATTTATAATTAGTGTTTAAAATCATGATAATCCGGAGCCAGAGAGACAACTCAGTGGTTAAGAGCTTGCTGCTCTTGTAGAGGACCTGAGTTTGGTTGCCAGCATGAATGTCACTTGCCTGTGACTCCAGCTCCATGGGATCAGAAACCTTTTTTCTGGCCTTCATGGGAACCTGAGTACATGTGCCACACAACTTTGCCTAGCATACATAAGGGTATGCATGGGAGCACACACCAATATACACACATAAATAAAAATAAAATAAACCTAAAATCATGATAATCATTGTAGTCATTAAGCCATAACATTTTACAGTTTAATAGATTAATGGGCAACACATATATTACTCTAGCACGTATTTTTTTCTGTATTTTACTATTTCAATTTTTGGCTTTCTTTCTAATTCTAGATTTTTTTTCTGATTTTAAAAGATATTTTTGTGAGAAAAGGGCTATAGGTTTCACTAGGCCACAAAAGAGATCAATGACACAAAAAATTGAGCTTGATCTCTGAGCTCCAATAGGCCAGAGATTGTTTTCTTTTCTTTCCTTGTCATATTCCTAGTCTAGTATGAGGCACATAGTAAGTACTCAATGACAATGTATTAAATGAACAATTGAGAGAACAAATGCTGGCTTTCTGGGTCACCTAAGGAGCGACATTCCTGAATCTAGTTTTGTCCCTGCCAGTCTGATTCTGTCTGCAAAAGTGAATGGCGCTTCCATGTGACACTGGGAGATCTTGGGAACCTCCCACTCAACTGCAGGATCCTTTGTTGTAGAGGGCTGTAAAATGTGAAGTCTACAAAAACAAGTAGTTTTACCATGAGAACAGGCCCCGGGGACCCATCATTTTTCATTCTTCTGGTTTCTGTTTATAGTCCCAGCTAATGATGCCCATGTTCTCTGATGCTTGCTGTATGCTATATGTTAGAGCTAGATTTGACATTAAAAGCGTTCTAGCCTTCTTTTTGAAGAGTGGGATTGAGAAAGGAGAGTACTGATAACAAGATGTCACTCTGGGTGAAGCACTTGAGCTCAGGGCATGAGCACTCTGGCCAACCATATTAAACTTCCATAATGGGCTCCTAAGAGTGTCCCAGAAGACCAGGGTCCCTTTTGGATAGGGTGGATAAAGAAGAGCCTCAAATGCCAGAATGAAGAATGGAAGATTTGTTTGGGGGAGAACATGAAGACTAGACTTCAAAGACTAGCTTCAAGGCTAGTCTCTGTCCTGGGATCTTGGGCAGGTTGTTAGTCCTGGGCTGATTTTCCCAGAATAATTAGGCTAAAATAGTAATTGGGAGGATTGAGACCTGCTAGAGAGGATGAGGGAATTACATCATTTTGATACACTGAGGCAAGGGGAACTAACCAGGCTTGCTCCCTGTTACACTGACTGAGCTTTTCTTGCCAGGCTGACTTCCTTTCTGGTCCACTCCAGGCCCTGAGACCTCCTCTTCTCCCTTAACCTTCACACATACATGCTCACCGGGGACTGGCTTCAGACAGTTCAGGGATATATATCCCTATTCTCCACAAGGTGCCTTGGTTAAGATTCTGTTCTATAAACTCTAGTCTTGAGATACTGCATTACCTTTTTTTTGACAGCTCTGGCTGTCCTAGAACTCTTGTAGACCAGGCTGGCCTTGAACCCCCCAAAGATCCGCCTACCTCTGCCTCCCGAATTCTAGGATTAAAGGTGTGTGCCACCACTGCCCGGCTCCTCTTACTTTTTCTTTCTTTTTTTTGGGAGGGGGTCTTGAGACAGGGTCCCTCTGTGTAGCCCTGGCTGTCGTGGAATTCACTCTGTAGACCAGGCTGGTCTTGAACTCAGAGATCACCTGCCTCTGCCTTCCGAGTGCTGGGATTAAAGGCATGCGCCACCACTACCCAGTCCCCTTTCTTTTTCAATAGCTAGTTTTTCCTTTTGAGGACTACAGAAAAATGGAATGTTGCTGTGTTGCTCAGGCTGGTCTTGAATTCCGGGCTTAAAAGCAATCTTGCTGCGTTGGCCTTCTGAGTCCTTAGCAGTGAGCAGCACCATGCCTGGCTAAGACAGTCCTCCCTTCTAAGTCTCAATCCTGTTTACCTTACTCTGACAAGGTGAGTCAAGGTCAAAATCAGAATCATCACAATCTATATCTTTTCTCCAAAACATTTATCAAGAACATGTAGAGCTATTTCTAAGATCTAGCATTCCAACCATAGCAAAGAGGAGGCCCAGAAAGGGAAGGGGCCTTGTCAAGGATCTCACAGCAACCTAGCACCATCTTTACTCCTTTATTCTCACTTACCATAGGTAAAGGCTGTCAGTTCCAGTATCCTGAAATCTATTATGGAACAAGGAGAGTTCTTGTGCAATAGAATTCCAATTAATTTATGTAGGCTCTTTCCTCTCAAGTAAAAGGAGCATAATTTCTCATTTTTTTAAGCATGGGCTGCACTTGGCTTCTCTGCAGAGTACAGGACAAGGGAGAAAGAGTAACTTTAGGGCCGAGAAACCTGATAGACCAGGTGATCAAAGTTAAGATCTACAGTGATGTCATATTGATAGTATCTACCTTTGACATGATGAAAGGAAAATGGCATGTTACATTTGTGTTCTTCCTCCCTCAAACCTATAACCCTCTGTAATAAGTAGAAAATAACAGATAATTCTCAGTCAGAGGACATTCTACAAAGTATTCCTCAAGTGTTGACAACTTCATCGCATCAAAAACAAGGAAACTCTGAGAAAGTGCCATAACCAAGAGGAACCTAAGGAGACAGACATGATGATTAAATGAGTGTGGTATTCTGGATGAGAACTTGAGATAGAAAAGGACCATAGGTTAAAACTAAGGAAACCTGAATAAGATACAGACTTCGGATAATGGTAATGTGATGATATTGGTTCTTTAATTGACTAATGTGAAATATAAATAATAAGGGAAACTGGCTGTGAGGTATTCAAGACTTCTCTATTTTTTTTGCAGCATTTCTCAGATCTAAAACTGTTCTGAAATGAAAAAAGAATCTTTTAAAAATTTCCAAATCCCAGCACTTGGGAGGCAGAAGCAGGTGCATCTCTGTGAGTTCGAAGTCAGCCCAGTCTACAAAATGAGTTCCAGTACTGCTAAGGCTGTTACACAGAGAAATCCTGTCTCAAAAACCAAACACAAACAAACAGAATTTCAAATTCAGCCAGGTGTGCTGGTGCTCGCCCTTAATCCCAGCACTCAGGAGGCAGAACTAGGAGGATCTCTGTGAGTTCGAAGCCAGCCTGGTCTACAGAGCGAGTTCCAGGACAGCCAGGGCTACAAGGAGAAACTGTGTCTTGAAAAAACAAACAAACAAAACCCAAACCAAACAAATTTCCAAATTTGTCCACACCATGCCACTCTCATCTGAGACACAGATAACCCCACTTCCACACGACTCTCTTTCCGTGCTCCTGGCAATCAGCAGAGGGCATTTTCTAAAATGCAAATTTGACAAAACTGTCCTTCGAAATAAGGCTTTGGATGGAAAGTTCAGGAGATATATTGATAAAAACCCACTAGGGTATCTACTTAAAAGGCATCTTTGGGGCTCGAAGGATGGTTCAGTGGTTAAGAATATGTATTGCTTTTCCAGAGGACCAGAGGTTGGTTCCTAGAGCACCATTGGTAGGAGCAGTGCAGGAGACCTGACACTTCTTGCCTCCTTGGACACCTGCACATATGTACACCTCTGTACACTACACATAGTTAAAATAATTAAAATAGGGGGCTGGGGCGATGCTCAGTGGTTAAGAGCACTTACTGCTCTTGCAGAAGACGAAAGTTTGGTTACCAGCACCCAAATGACAGCTCACAACCGTCTGTAACTCCAGTTCCAGAGGATCTGATGTCCTTTTCTGACCTCTACGGGTACCAGGCAAGCAAGTGGTGCGCATACATACATGCTTGCAAAACACCCACACACACAAAAATAAATCTTAAATA